GATTTAAAGATTACAATAAATCTTTCAATAATTTATTTGCAAATTAGATAAAAGTTTATTTTTAATTTTAATTTGCCTCATTTTAATAATTTGAGTTCAGATTAAATGGGAAGGCTAAATTTGAATTCCATTTTTCTCTCAAAATATTAACTGCTTTTCTATTCATTTTAAGGCATTCCTTGGAGGTCTGAATTGGGCATTTATAGGTGTTGATGAAGCACACCGATTAAAGAATGATGACTCTCTTCTGTATAAGACCCTAATAGATTTTAAATCCAATCACCGTCTCCTTATCACTGGAACTCCTCTACAAAACTCCCTCAAAGAACTCTGGTCTTTGCTACATTTCATTATGCCAGAAAAGTAAGACAATTTTAATATTTAATTTTAATCATAGTTTTATATGGTAATAGTGGGAAAGTAATTAATGCAGGTAATAAGATCAGTAATAAGCTTTATTGCCCTAAACCTTTGATTATAAATTATTAAGAAGGAAAAAAGGAAATGGGGTCAGGTAGTGTTTGTAATAGTATTTGAATTTTTTAATTTTGTGAACTTTTTTTTTTTTTTTTTAATACAGAGATGAGGTCTTGCTTTCTTGCCCAGACTAGAGTGCAGTGGTGTAATCATAGCTTACTGTAACTTCAAACTCCTGGGCTTAAGCGATCCTCCTGCCTCACCTTGCTGAGTAGCTGGGATCACAGGCACTATCCACCATGCCTGACATCAATTTTGTACATAAACTTAAGCTGTGTGTAATAAATTACAACAGTTGATTTTGCACATGTTCAAAATACACCTGTTTGAAAAACTGAAACAATATCAGTTCTTTATACTAGCAATAACAGTGGGGTACTGGTAATCTCATTTTCTAAATAAGGAAAACTAGCCTAGACAAGGTTAAATAACTTGCACAAAGCCACGTATGTGTTATTTTTCAATAGATCCAGAACTTTAAAAGTACATTTCTTGAGAAATATTTTAGTGATAATTACTGTTGTGCCTGAAAATACTTCATATACATTTAACTCAGGGAGAATCAAAACTTACAAAACAACTACTTATATTTAACTCTCTCTCTACACGCACACACAGTGTACTTCTTGGGAGGGACATTTTTAGAAGTGATTAATTTCAGCTAATTTTCTCTCACTAAAAATACTATAGTATTTTTTGTTAAATAGTATTTTGTTTACATATGGCTACCCTGAAAAACCTCATATGCAATTTGACTCTTTCAGTGATTGTTCCACTTTCTTAAATTTTAAAGGTTTTCTTCCTGGGAAGATTTTGAAGAAGAACATGGCAAAGGGAGAGAATATGGTTATGCAAGCCTCCACAAGGAGCTTGAGCCATTTTTGTTACGCCGAGTTAAGAAAGATGTGGAAAAATCTCTTCCTGCCAAGGTTGAGCAGATTTTAAGAATGGAAATGAGTGCTTTACAGAAACAATATTACAAGTAAGCTGTATACAGAGCACATGTTCTGAACATTTAATTCTGAATACCCTCCCTGTCCTTGTCCTCATCATGGCACCTCTACTTTCTCCACAAATAGTGTCTTAGAGCAGTCGCAACTCTTGAATTTTCGAATAGTTTTATTCTATGGCATAATGGGGCAAAGGGAGATTTAATGGCATATCCAAAATCATAATTCATCTTCTAATACATCATTAATTGCTGTTTTAGATATTATACTGTTACCGTATAGAGAGTTTCTTTTACATATTAGGATTTCTCATACAAAGGTATTATGTAACTATAATAATTGACAGATGGAGGTAGAGGCCAGAGAAGGAAACTTAGAACAAAGGTTTGGGTCCTTTGCTTTTTGAAAAATATTGACAAATCAGAGCTTGTGTAAATTTTCTATGTCAAGCTCTATACAGTAACATTTTTCAAAAACGAAAATCTGTTCTGTTATCTGTTTCAACATTTAATTGCATAAAATGAGATATATTGCTATATGTACTTGGAGTCTCAGGAACATTTATATTTTATGGTAAAATCTTTAGGCACCATACATTTAAAAATATATGTATTGCATAATTTTTAGGTTTTTATTATGGAAAATTTCAAGACATAAACAAAAATAGGATAATATAATGAATTCCTGTGTACCCATCACTCATGTTCATTTTTAAGTCATAGCCAGTCTTGTTTCATCTCTAGGCTTCCCCATTTCTCTAACTCCCTATCCTTTTGAGACAAATCAGAGAGATAATTGTTCCACCCATAAATATTTTTCTGTGTTATCTCTAATAACTGATTTTATACTAGTATCCCACTTTAAAATTTTGTATTTTTTTCACATTCCAAACCTAGGAATTCCACTTTAAAAT